GTGTGTGTGTGTGTGTGTGTTATTTTTGTTTCTTTTAATTTTCAAAATGAAAGAGTTAAACAAGTCAGAAGCATCGTAAGGATTTCCACTATTGTTGTGATCTAGTCTACTCTTCTAGTCCACCAAAACTAATGCCAGATTAAGCTCTTAAGATTCCATAAAAAGCATTACCTGATTCTTATGGTGGCTGATTGTGAGTGGGAGAAATTTTTAGAGGCAACTAACTCACCCTCGTGGGCCCCTACTTCCTTCACCTACCAATGATTCGGATTCCCACCCGCCTTCTTTCATAATTTCTCTGCGTTTTTTCTTTCTTTCTTAAATAGAATAAATGGCCTTGGGGGATGGCTGCAGGAGCATAAGGTTAAGTCTTGTCAAATGAAGAAGCTCACCTTCAGGTCAATCCCTGAATAGAGAGGAGTTTAAGGGATACAAGGAAGTCCTTCCCTACAATAACTAACCAATCAACCAATGCAATCTTTTAGCAGAAAAGGACTGGTCTACCATCAGAGAAGCAGTGAAGAGAAGCTCTTTGGGTAAGCCCCCTGGTGTAAATTTTCAAGAGAAAGCAACCTCCTATCGCCGATCTAATCTAAGGCAACGCTTGGCAGTAATTGTCCCTCGATTGTTAAGGGCCACAAATAGTAAATAAATTCAAACTAATTTAATTAAGAATTGATTGGCCAGGCGCCTTCTCACCTCAGCTGGGCCTCCAAGGAGATAAGAAAGGAAGGCTCAGAAACACAGGATATAGTACCGTATTAAATCTGTGTTTAGTTGTTTGGATTTTTTTATTTTTACTTCCACTAAGGAAATAATCACAAACAATTGCGGTACTGTAATGTTTTTAATGTTTCTTTTAAAAATGTTTCTTTTAAAAATGTTTTGAATTGTCAGAAGGACAATGAACTGAGGCTATGTCTATTTTGTATGTATTTTGCAGGGAACTTATATTAAGTAATGTGGGATTTAATCTCAAGAAAGGAACCGCGTGGAAATTTAAATTTAGAATTTATACAGCTTTATCCTTGATTTTGGATAAATTCTTGTTTACTTTTGAAATGGCATGGTCACGTTTTAGTTTCTTAAATAACAATCCAAAGAACATGGACTAACGTTTTATTGGATAATCAGATCTCCAAATCACTTCGTTTGAAGATATTGGAATAATTTGAACAAAATAGAGCTAGTTAAGATTTTAAATGGAAAAAAATAGTTTGGTTTTAACAGGTTCTTTATATTGATTGGTGCCTCTTTTTAAGACTGGATTCTGCCTCTAGTTGAACTGAGTGAAACAGATTTCTTAGGTGCAAATAGCTTTGGTTTCAGCTGGTCTCTAATAATATGCTTATCTAGCCTTATTTAGAGAGAATTGGTGGCAATAGTATACTTTTTGGTTGGGTTACTGGGTGTTGGAGGCAGGAATCTTTAGGCTTCTTCTAAAAATTATTTTAAATTGAACGGCAGCTTTGCTCGTTTTATACAATCAGTGAATATAGAATATTACGTTAACAGAATATCGTAACCTATGCTGGGTCGTAAACGGATAATGAGCAAAGGTTTGGAAAGAACCTTTGTGTTAGGTGAAGGTGAGCGAATTAAGCTTGTGTTCATCTCCATATTAAGCGTTTTATATGCTTCGGTTTTAGCCAGTTTGAATCCCTTTCGTTTGTTGTTGTTGTTGTGCATATAAGAAATCAAGGAGAAGAGAAGGGAATTGGACTGAAGGGGTGGGGGAATGGCTATTGCCTTTCCATTTAGTTTCAGTTTTGTTCGGGGGTGGGGGGGAGGATCGAGTAGGAGACAAGCCTTAGGGCAACCTCAAAGGCAGTGCCCCCACTGCTCCTCAAATCCATTCACAATTCAACTTTTGGGCTTCCAATGAAACTCCATTGGAATATGGAAAGCATTGTTGATCTCACCCAGTTGAGATATTAAGATATCTCTTGGGTCATTCATTCTTTTGAACCAATGTGCTCCCCCCCCTCCCTCCAATTTTCTTCCTGAGAAAAACCTGAGACGCGGGGGGGGGGGGCGCCTTTCTGTGAGTACTCCTTTGCTGATTTAGTGGATTGCCAATGGCGCAAGTAACTTCCTGTCTTCCCAGCAATTCTTCTGAGGATTAGATTCCTTGAGAAAACAGTAGATTTGGGGACAGGCTGGAGAGTCGGCTGTGGTGGGGGGAGGGAGAGGAATAGGAGATCTGTTCTAACCCAACTTTCCCACACAAAGTACCTACAAGGATATGCATTGAGTAGGGAATGCTATTTGGCCAAGAAAATGACTTTGTAGGCACAGAACTGGCACACTGGCTGCTTGGCGGGTGCAAATCTCTCCCTTTGTGCCAAGGCTTTCTGGAAGTGGCTGTCCCCCCCACCCCCACCCCCCCAGAGCAGCGCAACTTGCTTCTCATGGGAAAGCAGTGGAGTTCGGGGCCCTGTTCTGGAGTCCAGCTGTTCCGACTGTCCCTGAGATGTTTGATCTCAGAGAAGGAAGGAAGGCCTGGAGGATGGCAAGTAAATCGCACAGGCCAGATTACAGGGGGAGGGGAGAAGCTTCGCTGGGTATAATGGGATCCCCCTAAGGGAGGAAGGATGCCTCTTGAGGTCTGGAGCAAAGGCGGGCTTCCTTCACGCAAGGACAGCATCCCCCGGACTGACTCCCAGATGTGCTTGCCCTGAAAAGGGCCCAGCAAAGGCTCTCTCTCTCGGCTGGCATTTTAGGAGCTGGGAAGCGTCTTGAGGTCGCGGCTGCCGTCAGGAAAGCGGCGGAGTTTAACTCTCCGGCATTGACAAGATCGGGCAAGCAAGGATGCTTCCACTTCGGTGCGCTTGCGGAGGGCAGCCCACCCACCCAGACTGCTTTCAATAAAGGCTGGCGCGCGGGGGGGGGGAGGAGAGTAACGGGGGGACGGGACGTTTCGCCTCGATTGCTGTTTATTGGGGGCGATATGCCGACTCTGTAAACCGCTTAGAGAGGGCTGAAAGCCCCACGAAGCGGTATATAAGTCTAACTGCTATTGCTATTGCTACTGCTATTACTCAGTGTTTACTTCTCGGCTGCTCCCCGCCCCCTCCTTTTGTTTTGATGACACACGTGCGAGGAGGAGGAGGGAGGGAGGGAGGGAGGGAAGGAGGTCAACCACAGGTGGATCTGCCCCAGGGCCTTGTCCCTCACCCCTCCTCGCTTCGCGCCCCCCCCCCACCTGCAGCGGGAAAGAGAGTTCAGAAATCCGTCTTGTGCCCGGGACGTTTGAGCCCTCCGGGAAGGAGGCCCTGGAACGGATCGGAGCAAACCTAGAGGCCCCGGGACGCCTCCCGCAAGGCCGGAGAAGGGAAAGCGGGGAAGCTCGGGTGTCTTTCAGCTGGCGGCGGGGAGACCGGTCCCGGCTGCCCTGCTCCAAGCGAGCCGGCGGGCTCTCCCCCGAAGCGGCGAGCAAGCGAGCCTGCATTGGGTGCCTCTTCCTTGCCAGGAATTGCCGCTGAGTAAGTCCCTTCGTGCAGGCGGGCTTCCTTGGCGCACAGCAGACCTGCCACAATGTCCCACCAGATGGCCTCGCGGGGCCCCAAAGGAAGAGCCAGGTTGCCCGGTGCCCAGCGCTCGCCTTGCCTCGTGGCCAACGACCAAGAGAGGCTCCCTTCTCTAGTCGCCAAGCGAGGACCGGCTCCGGCTGGCCCCGATGGGGAGAGAGAGCTGTGGCCGCCGCGATGCTGTGCCCAGGCCGCTTCCATCCCCGAGACGGATCCGGTTAGAGTTACCGACTTATTGGCGGGAGGTCATTGTTAGCCGGATGAGAAAGGCTATGCCAATCGCTGATCCGCTGACCGCGGACGGAAAGGCTTCAATAGTTTTTGCAAGTGCATATTTCTGCTTCGTTGGATTTTTTTGGGGGGGGGATCAGGCTTTTGGGTGGTTTCTAATGGCCTCTTCGGCGCGCGAAGGGAATGCAAAGGTACGTTCCTTGGGGAATGGGCTTTCCACGGCTGCCACCCGGTTTAAGACCCCCGGGTCAGCCTCTTTTGCAACCCGCGGCTCCCACGAGACCAGAGAGCAAATCGGAATGTAAACCAGATGTTGGCTGAAGCCAGCTTCGGAATGCCTACATCCTCTNAAAGCCCCGGGAGCTCCAGCACCAGCAGCCTCTCCAGCGGAGGAGGAGGAGGAGGAGGAGGAGGGGGCAGCCCGCGCGGGGGCGGCCGAGCGCTGGGCTTGGACCCCAGCGGAGCAGCCGAGTCCCAGCCGCAGAGCCAGCACCACCCCCATCATCCCCACCCGCACCAGCACCCCCACCACCATCATCCGCACCCCCACCACCCCCACGCCGCCCTCCACCACCCTCCGGCGCACCACCACCCCGGCGGCGGCGGAGGCGGGGGCTTCAGCGTGGACAACATCATCATGACTTCCCTGCGCAGCTCGCCCCAGGGCGCCCCCCAAGAACTCCTGCCGTCCGCCGCCGCTGCCTCCTCCGCGGCCTCCTCTTCTTCCTCCTCCTCCTCCTCCTCCTCGTCCACCGCTTCCAGGACCGCCGCGCTGGCTTTGAGCAGCGGCTGCTATTCCCCGGCGGCGCAGAGCTCGCTCTACAGCGCCCCCTGCAGTCAGGGCGTGAACCCCAGCAGCAGCGCGGCCTCGCCGTCGGGCGGCGTCCCCACCAGCACCAGCACCAGCAGCAGCTATCACTGCAACTTGCAGGCCATGAGCCTCTACGCGGCCGCCGCCGCCGCCGCTGCAGCCGCCGCCGCGGCCTCGGGGCCAGGGACGGGCATCAACAGCGGAGGGGACCGGAGCGGAGGGGCCCATTTGGGCAGCAGCCCCGTCGAGCCGGACCCGTTGCCCGAGTACAGCCTGGCGGCCAGCAGCAGCAGCAGCGCCTCGTCCCTCAGCCTGAGCCCCCAGGAGGGGCACCCGCAAGGCGGCGGCGGGGGGCGCTTGGCCTCTTGGTACCTCAACCAAGCCTCGGCGGTGGGCGAGCTGACGCATTTGGGCCCCGCTTCGGCTCCGTCGGCTTCCTCCCCGTCCTCGTCGGCGGGCTACCCGGGCCAGCAGCAGAACTTCCACGCCGTGCGGGAAATGTTCGAGTCCTCGCAGCGGCTGGGCTTGAACCACTCTCCCGGCGGCAACGGCAGCGGCGGCGCGGCCAGCAGCTGCCAAATGGCCTTCCCCGCCGGCCAAAGCCTTTATCGGCCTTCGGGCGCCTTCGTCTACGATTGCAGCAAGTTTTGACCGCCGGCCGCGGAGGAAGGGAACGGAGCCGAGCGATGGGAGAGGCTTATGGTGTCAAGGACTCCCCTTCGGGCCCTTCCCGGCCTTCCTTCCCCCCCCCCACCGAACCAAAGAGGGGAGAAACCCCCCCCAAAAAACACTATTCCGTGCCAAGAAGACATTTTTGCCCAGTAGATAAATGATTAAGTCATGGTTTGTGTTAAGGACAGTGTTACACCAAATAACACGTAAGTTTGTATGCTTTCTTCCCCCCCCCCTCCCTCTCTTTCTGCCTTTTAAGCCTTTGCAAACTGCCCCCCACTTTCCCCCCCTAGTCCAAGAAGCGGCCCTCCGTCCCCATCTGCGCCAGACCGCTTGGATAGCTAGGCATCCAAGGCCTTGCGCTTGACTTGGTTGGATGGCGACCCGAGGAGGCGCATCCCGGCAACTCAGCGCGCAAGGCAGGCCGCGAAACGAGACCCCCCCCCAAAAAAAAAACACCCCATGGCTCCCAACACGGGTGGGAGTTTTGCCAGTTTGATTCCAATTTGAGGGCCTCTCCGCCCCTCTTTGAATAAGGCGCAGCGCCTTTTCCCAAAAGCTGTAAGAAGTTTTTATGCCCGTTGACTCGTACGCAACCTGGATTGCGCAGTACACGTGTTGTTTCCTTCTCTCTTTTTCCCCCACCCTTTCTCTCGCTCCCCCCTCCTCCCGTAAAGGCCTGTTTTATACGCAAAGACTTGTTTTAAAGTGTAAATGGAACATAGTAATTTATTTTTAAATCTGTTTGTTGGATCGTTTCGGACCAAACGCCAAAAAAAAAAAAAAAGTTTTCCCCTCTCCATCAGGAAAAAAAATATATTTGACTTTAAAAATGACCTGAAACGCTCATTTTTCTTCTTCTTCCATTATATAAGAAAAGGGAGGATTGTATTAATCTTATTTTATCATTTTATCATTTTTTCCTTTTGTTGTTGTTGTTGAAGATACCTTGAAGTTTATTGACTTTGTTTATTAATAAATTACCATTCAATTGGACCAAGAGCATTTATGTCTGGATATATATATTCATCCCACTTTTTAAATTTTAAATTTTAAAAATCTATTGGGCGGAAACACGAATAATAGAATTATTATTTTTAGTGATGAATCAAAAACAATATTTTTTTTGTATTTTTTTAAAAAACCCTGCTGAGTAACTTTATCTGCAAAACATTTCAGTGCTGGCAAATTTAATTTATAGCATCACTTCTGAACTATTTTATCAGTAAGTAAACGTCATGGATTCAATCTATTTTGCCCGGATTTCATTGGAATGCACTGTCAGATGGACTTTTGAATGAAGTTGAAATTGGCATAAAACAAATGCTGCAAATCAAACACTTGCTTGATAGAAGTATTGCGGTTACAGTTTTGAGATTTATGTTTATTATCATTTTTGGAATCTAGGAGAAAAATTCACAAACATCTGAACAGCCAAGCCGTCACAATTGACTCGCATTAGAAGTAAAGGTCAGGAGACATTTGGCTAATTGAACTTGCAGGCATTGCTATATGACGCATAAAGGAAGGCGGCATTACAGAAGTCATAGAAAGGTCCAGAAATAAATCATGGGTGTATGTAAAACTGCTATTTTTAGCGAAACTTTTTCTGGTTTCATGTCTGAGTACTTTTACAAAGAAGTAAATCCCACTAACTTGTGCAAGANCTCCCGCCCCCCCTCTCTCTCCCTCCCTCCCTCCCTCCCTCTCTCTTTCTTTCTTTCTTTCTTTCTGCCTCTAGCCGGTCTCGATCCAGAGAGCGAGCGAGAGACCCTGGCGGAGAGAAAGCCGACGGGAGAGAATCGTTTTCCTTGGGTTCTTGCACTTGCAAAGTGGGAAGTGGCCAAGGGGGGACTTTGCAGCCGTCGCGTGGGAGGCGAGAGAGAGCGAGCGAGCGAGAAACGCAGGCAAACTCAGGTTTTCCCCCTTCCTCTCTTTGACTGCCAAGCGTCTTTCCTAGGGAATGGGGGATTTCTTCCCCTTCTTCATCCACCTCCCCCCACCCCCACCGCTTTCTTTAACAAACAGATTTGTTTCAACTTGGGTGGGCAGAAAGGAGCCGCTTGTGGGGCCCAGAACAGCCTTTACCTGCTGGAGCCTTTCACCTTTGGCTCCGCGGGAGGCAGCTGTGTGGCGGCCCAAGAGCTGCGCTTGATGTGCGCGGCGACTGCCCGAAGAAATCCCCCCCCCTCCAATTGCTCTCAACTGGCCTTTAAAAAAAAAAGAATTGGCAGAATTCTGCCTTTCCCGGTTTCCACCTCCTGCCAGGAAAACCCACTCCTTTTGCAGGGATTCAGTCTCCGACTGGCAACGGCGTTGCCCCTGCACTGAAGGAAGCCTGAATGTGGGTCTGGATGGGGTATTAAAAAAAAGGGGGGGGGCTGCCAAGGTAGCAAAGACTAAAGAGCAAAACCTTTTAAAATTCCCCACTACCGCCGTGGGTTTCGAGAGGGTGGCATTTTGAGAGAAGGATCCTCGGTGGCATTTTTCTCTCCCGGGAAACGTAGGGCTGGATCTGAACCCTCCGGGACAGACACAAAGTGGATCGGATTTACAGCCCTTCGTCCTATCTAATCCGAGAATAAATCCCAATTAAAAGTCCCAGTTAATAGATCCAGGGGGGCTGTAAGGGGCAGCCTGAAGAAGTTAACCGAAATGCACAGCTGAAATGCAGGAAAGGAGCCCTTGCAACGATCCATTCGTCCATAGGTGTCTGCAGGGAAAGGGTTGGGGGGGGGTTTCAAAAAAGTTTAAACGGGGGCCACCATGTTGACGTGGTTGATGGCGTGGTTGTGACCTCGGTGGTGACTTTTCTCTGCTGATATCTCTAAATTCTTGCCTTGAAGATTGCGATCCTGTGCACCCTTCCCTCCTGATTCCAATGCAATTTACTTTCAAGGGAATGGTCGAGATAAACCTGGCATATTAACTATTTTATATATTGGCGGGGCGTATGTTAGATCCAATGCGGAAATATTAAATACATTGTTATAATCGAGGACAGTTCTCCGGGAAAAAAAGGGCCCAAGTTGGGGAATAAATCTGTGCTTCGTTTAGCTAAAAGTAAATTTATTGATCCTGGATAATTTCATGGAGAATTGCACCGTGAAGACGAAGGGACAAAAAAGGCGGTTGCTTCAGAGAAATCATAAACATCGCTGAGTTCCAAGTTTGAACTTTAAAACAATCAAAACCAAATTCCTACTCTGCAAAGCTGGCCGAAACTCATCTCGGTCTTCTCTCAGATATTCTGCTTTCTGTTTCTGTAGTTTAATTTGTTAAGCCAATTAGAAGAAGAGGTGGGTGGCAATAAAAGACTGGGGGGGGGGGGGCGTCTGTAGACACACGGACGTTTTAAGAGAGAATAGTCGCATTGAAAAGGAACTTTCTGCTGCCTTCTCAGCTATTGCTAAACTATAAACCAATTCTCCACTTATGACGCCTCTATGCCTGGAAACGCCTTCTTAGAAGACAGCGGCAGAAGTACATTCGTCTTTTTTTCTTACTTACTTTCTATCTATCATCCATCCATCCATCTTTCTTTCTTTCTTTCTTTCTTTCTTCTTTCTTTCTTTCTCCCCTTCCCTTCTTCCTTCTGCCTTCCCTTCCTCTCTCTCCCTCTCTCTTTCCTTCCTTACTCTTTCTTTCTTTCTTTCTTTCCTTCCTTCCTTCCTTCCTTCCTTCCTTCCTTCCTTCCTACCTTCCTTCCTACCTTCCCTCCTTCCTTCCGCCCTCCCTTCCTCTTTCTTTCTGTCTCTCTTTCTTTGCTTCCTTACCCTTTCTTTCTTTCTTTCTTTCTTTCTTCCTTCTTTCTCCCCTTCCCTTGTTCCTTCTGCCCTCCCTTCCTCTTTCTTTCTCTGTCTCTCTTTCCTTCCTTACTCTTTCTTTCTTTCTTTCCTTCCTTCCTACCTTCCTTCCTACCTTCCTTCCTTCCGCCCCTTCCTCTTTCTTTCTGTCTCTCTCTCTTTCTTTCCTTCCTTACCCTTTCTTTCTTTCTTTCTTTCTTTCTTTCTTTCTTTCTTTCTTTCTTTCTTTCTTCCTTCCTTCCTTCTTTCTCCCCTTCCTTTCGTCCTTCTGCCCTCCCTTCCTCTTTCTTTCTCTGTCTCTCTTTCCTTCCTTACTCTTTCTTTCTTTCTTTCCTTCCTTCCTACCTTCCTTCCTACCTTCCTTCCGCCCCCTTCCTCTTTCTTTCTGTCTCTCTCTCTTTCTTTCCTTCCTTACCCTTTCTTTCTTTCTTTCTTTCTTCTTCTTCTTCTTCTTC